GAAGATGTAGCCAAGCTCCATTCGCTGCTCTGGAGCCCCCCGCCTGCCCCCCGAAACCAGGCTGGCCTTTCCCCGCACTGCAGGGGGACTCCCCTGCGAGCTGTCCACCCGCCGGCCTCCGCGCCTCCGGCCCCCTCTGAGCCCGGCCACCAGGAGAAGCTGTGTGGCTGGAGGCATCCCGGGAGCGATGCTTGCTCCAAAGGCTGGGCTGCTCCTGGCAGAGGACGTTCCCAGTCTGTCAGCCGGCTGAGCACAGCCCCGGACGGGATTCGCCTGTCTTCCAACCTCGGCACAGAAAGGTGGAAGAACCAGAGCGCTCCAGCAACCCCGGCTGCCCCCCAGGGCCCTCTGGTGAGGGGTCGGTCCAGCAGCGTGTCCGGATCTCCTGTGCTCAAGAGTGCCAAGGCAGCAGGTGGCTGCAAAGCCAGACCCCCCTGGAAGTGATGCCAAGCGTCTCTCTGGATGCACATTCAGCCTTAGTCTAACTGAGGCCTCCCTGTGATCAAGCCCACGAGGACCCTGGGCTTTTCTGTGGCTGGAAGGGAAGGATGGGGCTGTTCCATGCTGGAAGACAAACCAGGAGCCAGAGGTGACCACAGTGCTGGGAGCAGTGACCTCCTTGTTCAGGGCACAACCCCACGGCACCAGAGCAGGATAGCCTTGGTGGGAACAGCTGCTTCCCGTGATGTCCAGTGGCTGTCAGAGGAGGTTCCTGCTGTCTGGGAAATCCAGCTGGGAGGTTGGAGCAGCAGGAGACAGGGGTGCCCACAGTGCAGTCCAGGGCCTGTCCAGGCACAGGTACATGGACAGTGTAGCTCTGTTGGGGAGCTCCCAGAACAGGGTGTGCTGCTGGGGTGGGGTCCCAAGTGAGTCCAGCTGGGGCACTTGAGGTCTGAGAGCCCTTAGAGGGACCTTTGCTCATCACGTGTGGTCAGAGGAATCCTGCTCCATCCCGCCTGTGGGAATGCAGGACATCCCTAGTCCGACCTGCTCAAGGCAGGTCCAGTCAGGTGGTGGAAACGGCTAGGAACAGAGGCTGCACAGCCTCTCTGGCCTCCTTCTCACTGCTCACTGTCCTCAGGGTGAAAATTCTCCCTTTATCCAGTCAGAGCCTTTCTGGTTTGATTTTGTGTCTGTTCTCATTCTGCACCTGAGCATAAATCTTGGCCCAACCCTCATAGCCACCTCCTCTTTGCAGGTGCTGAGAGGCTGCTCTGAGGCACCCCAAGAGGTTCCCTTCTCCAGGAAGTGAGCTTCTGCCTCTGTGCACAGGATGTGCCTTGGTGTCTCCCTGCTGTCCTTGCTTTGTGTCACCAACGCCTGATGGACTCCTCTGACAAAGCAGGACGAGGGAGGATGAGCACAGAGGTGAGGAAAGCGTTGCCCTGCATCCTGCTGGCAGTGGGATGGTCCCACACTGGATGGGGTTTGTGACAGAGAAGGATCCACACAGGGATTTTGGCAGCTTGTGGTGATGAGGAGGTGCTGAGTAGATCCATAATGGTGTGGCTGGGTGCCGAGGCTTGTGAGGTGCTCACAGCAGTGCCAGGGTGTCACCAAGTCAGCGCTCTTGAGACAAATCTGGGATCTGTGGGATGCTGCTCAGTGATCTGGGCACCTCCAAAGCTCCTCCACTTCCTTTGTTGAGGTGGGAATGAGCAGCTCTGTCTGTGTGGAGGTGGATAAAGGACACGGGGTGGGTGACTTGGGGTTTGCAGTCACTGCTCCCTGGGGAGGGAGGCTGCGGTAAGGAGCTGCTGAGGTTTGCTGGCACTTTGGTAACTCCCATGCCAAGGGAAACACTCAAATTCACCCAAGGACACACCAAGCCAGGTTAAGAGCATCATTCTGCCCTCAGAAAAGATTTTATTTCACCTTGAGCAGCAGCAGGATAGGGCCATGATGCACTCCAGCACGTTGGAGCTGGAGCCAGCCAAGAGCCTACACTGAGTGGAATTTATGCTCATTTTTTGGCCTGATAGGAAGCAAGAGAAACCTGATGCTATTAAAACCTGAGAAGGTGAGTGAGGATCCTTTTGATTAGCTCCAGGCTCTTGGGTCTCTCCCTATGCTTCCCAGCATCTCTTCTCCACCTGGGATAAAACTGGAGGGACATGGAACAATTGTGGCCTTCTCAGAGGAGGGGTTGGGAGTGCTGGTTTCAATCCAAGCCTGATCAGCTGTGTTTGGGATGTGGGCACAGTGACTTGAAAGTTGTGAAGGCTGCAGGTCTCACTGGGCTGGGAGAGAATCCAGATGTGATTTGGACACTAGATGGAGACAAGAGGGTTGAGGATTGACAGAGGAGCAGGAATGCTGTTCCCCAGCAGCAGGTGGGAGATCCAGCAAGGGAAGTCATCAGCAAATGGGGGAACTGCCCTGGAATCTAAGCAGAGAGCTCAACCAGTGCAGTCTTGGAGAGCTGGAGTCCTTGAAAGATGAAGCCTCTTAAAATAAGGAGAGATTTTATCTGAAAATCAAGTTGGCAGTGGCCTGTGTGGTCAGGATTGGCCATTGCTCAGGGTCCAAGGAATCAGTGGGGGAAACTAGAGCCCATCTCATCGGCCACACTTTCCTGTCCCACACTGGCCCACGTTGTCACCAAGGGCTTCCAGGAGGTCAGAACTGACACTTCCTTGCTATTCACACATGAGGACAATGTTGGTTAAGTATAAATGAGTTATTTTCATTTTGTTCCATGATTCTCACTCACATTGGTGCTTTACTGTTGCCCTGTTATCTTGTTCTGCCAGAGCTGTGCAGCCCAAGCACGAGAGCAAAACGTGCTCTGTTACTGCTGGAACTAGTGCTCACATGGAAAAAAACCCACATTAAATCTGAATAAAATGAGGTGGGGGAAATGTTCAGTTGTTTCCTCCCTCCAGATCCAGCCTGTCTGGTGTCACTGGTGCTCAGCTCAGGCCAGATACAGAGGCCTCAATCAAGCTGGGGATCCTCCCTGCTGCTGCTCTCATTTTTCTGCCTGCTCAGCACTGACATAAATCTCACTCCCCACCTTTGACTCCACCCTGATCCTTGCCTTGTTGCTTACCCGGGGGTTGAAGTTGTGTTCCTGCAGGGCTGCTTTCCACTGAAATCAGCAGAGCATTGGGATGGAGCAGGTACACTCCAAAACCCATAGCTGGCAGGAGCCAGGTGATAACTTGACGGACAGAGGCAGCAGCCTGCCCTTAACAGGCCTCATCTCCTGCAGGACCCTTTTGAGGGCCAGTGCTCCTGGATACCCCTCACAGCACCTATTGCGCTGGGCTGCACTCAGGGCCCGACTCTTTCCTCGGCCAGCGGGGCCTGCGAACAGGGACGCGTCCACAGGGAGCGGGGACGGGCGGGTGTCCCAGCCCGGGAGCGGGTCGGGGTCCCGGGCCTGGTCCCCTCAGGGCTCGGAGCCGCTCCCGCCCGCGTTCCGCTGTTGCCCGGTGACCGCTCCTCTCCTCCCTGACCCGGGGGCGGGGCCTCGGCGCAGCCAATGGCAACTCGCGCTTCCTTTTTCCCCGCCCCAGAGCCCATCCCCGCCAAGTCGGGCCAATCAGCATCACTGTCTGTCTTGAGTGACAGCGCTTCTATCCAATGGCGAGGCGAAGTGCGTGAGGTGGGGAGGGGAGGCGGGAATNCCTCCCTCCCTGTCCCACTGCAGTTCCCATGTGGTGTTTTCCTAGCACCACAAACATCTGTGCTTTGTGAGCCTTGTTTTGTCTGTTTCTAGTTTACATTCCGATTTTTCCAGGAAGGGAAGTGTTGATAAATCCCTTCCACATCTTTATTGTGTTCTTATCAAAGAACTTGGAGTACTTTTAGACAATATATTCATGTTGGCCCTGGCTGTTTAGTGGGGCATAGCCAGCCTGTGAGCACTGGGAGGGGGGAAAACAACAGCCACCATCCCTCAGAAGCTTTGCTTTTCTCCTCAGTGTGTCTTTATTAAAGCCCTCACCGTGCAGCAGGTTGGATGTGGCCAGCAGATGTGTGTTTAGAGAGTTTCTGAGAGTTTCTGGTTGGTGTTACACCTCACTGCATGTACCTGTGCAGTTCTGTCCAGCACATCCCTGGGATTTCCAGTGGCAGGTGCACACACACGGGTCTCGTGATCCTGTTCCTGCCACAGGCTGAACAAATGCATCATTTCCTGGCCAGGCATCCCTTTTTTTTTCCACATTATACCTCTGTGCCTTACTCCCTCTGAGATTTGATTCCTCTTGCAAGAAGATGGGTTCCTTTAATTTTCTCATTCTTGACTTTCCAACTCAGGAATTAATTTTGGATAATCAAGATTCTTCCTCCGTCCTCATCCTCCTCTGCCACCCCACAATACAGATCCCTGACTAAATTGCCCAGTTGACTTTCTCTAAGCTTTCTTTTATCCTTGCTTCATCCCATCTGTTTGTCTTTTAAAGTTTAGCCCTCTATTTTTAAGTTAAATAGAAGAGAGATTTCTTCCTCCGTCCACGGGTGTATTTATAGGATTCCTTGTGACTAATTTTAATCACTCTTCCCTCTTTCTTTCCCCCGCCTCCCATCCCTTCAAAGAAGAAGTTGTGTGAGGCTTAACAATTGCTTGAAGCCAGCATGACTGTGTTAAAGCACAGGCATGAGAATGAATGTATTAATAAATAAAATTCTCCACGTTGAAATACAGGGAAATTCTTTAGGGACCAATTTTGTGCTTCTTACAGGATCGCTGTGTGGTTTTTGAGAACTCATTTCCTGGGATCCTTCAAATGAAATGTCTCTTATTTGTATGTTTTAATCACTGTTAAAGTTGGATTTACTGCAGAAATATAAAGCTTATGCTATGGGAGTGATAGGGAATGATACAGAGCCTTCTGAAGTCAGGCTGGGATGAAGGATTAAGAGGGAAGGCTGGCATCAACAACTTGAAAGGCACCTTTATCTTTGGGAAGTGGGAAGCTTAAATCAGGGAGTGAGCACACTGACACCAGCACTGGCAAAAGTAAGCTTGTTTAAAAACCAGGACGTGCAGTCCAGCTTTTGCTCTTTGCCTGCACAGAAAATCTGCTGTGAAATGCAGCAAAGTTGTGTCTCGTGGAGGCTGTGAGGAATCCAGTGTGTCCCCTCTGCTCTGCCTGCCCTTGGCTGCTGAGGACTGAAATGGCATCAACAGAGCTGTGTGATGTCACTTTTTCAGTCAGAAGCTTTTCTTTTCCAGGGGAAAAAGTGTGTGAGAAGCCCTTGTCAGGGGAGAGGGAGCCTGCCAGGGTGAAGGTGAGGACATGGGGACAGGGAAGGTCAGGAGGCTCTTCCCTTCTGGCTTTGTCTTCCCTTTGCCTAATCATAATTGAGTATTCAGCCAGAATTTGGAGGAACAGCTCCCTTGTTACTGTTCCTGGCCATCATCAGTTCCAGGGGATTCAATGACAGGTTAAACACAAAGCTTTACTGAGCTGTGTCTCCAGGCTGGGACTGTTTGCAGTGAAGAACCCACCATCCTCTTCCAGGTGACACTTGGGGAAAGACAAAGTGGTTGTAGCTGCCCCTTGTTCAATCCCATGTTGGAGGTTGCTGATAATTAAATCTCACTCTTGCTTTGTGTTCCTGTGTGCACAAACTCCTCTAAATGTTAGTCCATTCTCCAGCCTGTCACAACCATGTCACTGAGTGCTGTCTACCTGTGTGCTCCAGTGTATCAGCTCTCGTGTTTTTTAAGGAACTTCTTGTGCTTTTAAATTAAAAAAAAATCCTATCCGTGGTCTGGCTTTGTTCCAGTCAGGTCTTTGGATAAATGAATTTGTAGTTGTGGATTCTTGGTGCTGATTGCCTGGATCTGGAGACAAGTTTTTGGGCTGAAATAAGTAGAAACAGGGTTTTCTGAAAGCAAGCCAGTAGCAGATGTAAAAAGAAAGGATTGAAGTGCAGGGGTGAATTCCTTTCCAAACCTTGCAGGAGGGTCCTCTCCTGGGGAAGTGGGTGTCTTGGGATTAGAATAAAAGAAAGCTAAAAGAGAAAATTGTGTGGAAAATTGCATTCTTAAAGAAAATGTCCAGCTGCAAAAATTAATCTCCCAAATCCTCCAGCTCTTAAGCATTTAATGAGAGAAAATACTTGCATGGGGAGGAATATTAAACTCTGCCTTGCTTGGCTTGTGCTGGGATGCAGGGCTTCCAGGGAGCTCCCATCTGCAGCCACCACAAAGGGTCAGAATCCTGCAAAGCTGACAGGAATTCAGACCACATCCAGAAAAAATGTGGTCCCTGTGGTGCTGGTGGTTTTCTGGCTGCACTGTGTAGGGGCTGGATAATTTTTCTTTGCAGCTTCAGCAGCTGAAGGAGACAGGGAGAAGCTCTTGCATCACCTGGATCCACAGTAAGGAATGTGATGCTGCCCTTCCCTAGCACATCTTACCTGAGCATCTCCATACAAGCTGCAGTTAAGCTCCCCAGCCCCTGCCTGAGGGCAGTGACTAATAGGAAACTGGATTTCTACAGAAGGCAAGAAGGGAGATGTGAACCTGGCCTGGCCTTTCCCAAAATCCTGTCCTGAGAGTGATGAGAACCTGCCAGGGTTTAGTGGTTTCCTATCCCTCCTGAACTCCTGGGAAATGTTTGAACAAGGCTCTAGACATATCCCCTAAGTGCAGAGTCTGTTTTCCATCCACAAAGGCAGTATGGATAGCCTTGAAACTCTGGGACAGCGTCTCTTCTTGAGCTGATGGGAGCTATAAACAATAAATGAGTGCACATTGATTTATCCTGTATTAGATCAGATAGGAGATTCTCCTTTGCCTCCTGCATGGAAATTGCTGTAGCCTCAAGTAGAGTTTCAGTGTGTTCAGAGCAGAAAGTACAGCTCGGAGTGTTGTACACAGAACAATGGGATATTGTCTGTTTTCCCACACAGTGGGTGATGGCAGGGGGGAAAAAGTCATCTTTCAACTCTGGGTTTTTACAAGAAGGCAGCTGCATCTGCTATTGAGGTAAAAACTAATTATTAGGGAGGTGGGGGAGCAACTGCAACGGCCAAGAGTGGTGTTTTCTAGAAAGATTGTTGGAAAATAGGAAGTTATAACTTTGAGTGAGGTGCCTTTGCAATCTCACTTTCTGCTGCCTGAGAAGTGAGTTGTCAGGAAAAGCAGAGCCAGCCTGACCTTTTGGGAAGATGAATTATTTGGGAAGGTGAATATATGCCTGGCACTGCTGGGAAAGAGCAGGTGGCCCGAGGTGTGTGAAGAAAATGAGATTTCTGTGTTGGTGAGGTTGGAGGGGCTGTCGCAGGCATCCTTGGTGAGGGATGTGGGTAAGGAAAGCCTTGTTGTTTGTGCCTCTAGAACAGTGTGTGGGTGTTCCCAGAGGGCTGGAAGGGACCCTCCCTCTGTCCTTGCACTGGGACAGCTCCCTGGTGGAATGTGGGAAGGGGCTTTCAGCAAAGCTGTTCCTTTAGTAACTGGCTGGTGGAGACTCAGGTGGTGATTCTGAACACAGAGTCTAATTACAGCATTAATGGATGTTGTAGACACCAAACCTGTCTTTAAAAAAAATAAAAAAATCCTTTACTAAGCCCCAGGTAGACACCTGGGATTTGGAGCAGTTAATGTTCTTTTTGAGGCATGTGAATTACCTAGATTTTGATGTGTTTGGTAGCCAATGCAACCTGAAGTGACAAGAAATCTCTTCTGTGTTGGGTCTGGTTCCAGAGCACGTTTGTGTTGGCAGTGAGAGAGTTAAGTCTGTCCATGTAGTCCACAGCTTCAGCCCATCTGGTCAGGGAATCATCTCAGAGAATCCCAGAGTGGTTTGGGTTGAAGGGGCCCCAAAACTTCAGTTCCACCATCCTGCCATGGGTGAGATTTCCAGGTGTAAAACAATTCCTAAAGGGCAGAGGGAGCAGAGAATAAACACCAGACCTTTGGGAAAATTCTGCAACCACACAAACTCTTAGGAAACTCTTGCTTCTTGTGGAACCACTTGAACTGCTGTGGAGGCATTCTGGCTTTGGAGGAAAAGAGGCATTTCAAATGTCAACCACCTGGTAGATTTAATAAATCCTTTGGGATCTGTATGTTTTGATCCTTGTGTGGGAGCAAGGGTTTCAGAGGCTGGCTGGGCTGAGGCACTGGGAATGAAATGCTGTAGCTAATTAAGGTGAAGGAATGAAGGGGATGAGGGGACAAGCAACTGCTTGCATTGGACCTGGCAGACTCCAAGATTTCTAACAGCCAGACTCTAAAACAGCCTTTTGGATTATCTGGTGGCTTTCTTGGATGCTGTGCAGGATATTTTCTCACGTCATGGCCCCTAGTTCTACCAATTTGCCTTTAATTAGTTCCAGCAGCAGCGCTTCTGCTGCTGCCTTTAGAGGTGAAACATGGCCAGAGCACAGGACTGGGATCTCATTTTGGGAAGCAGTCTGGTTCTGCTGCTGGAGCAGCTCCTCCTTGCACTGGGGTAAGGCAGGTAATGCCACTGTGGGTCGAAATCTCACCTGGAAAGTGCTGATTACACCTGGGGTGGGAGTGGACAGGTAGGCTTTATTTCTTTGTTATGAGGAGTTGCTGTTTTGCATTGCTGTGCATGATTCATTTTTCTTAATTTGCACCTGCTTAATATATAGAAAGGAATTCTTTCCAAAGCACGAGTGGTGGTTTTGTGGTGGATTGTTGGTTATGCCTCTGAAAGTCTCATTTCTCTGACCTAACAGCCTTGCATTCTGCAACTTCTGCCAGGGCTCCTCTAATCCTTTCCTGGCCTAGATGACTTAAAATGAATGTTTTAAGCAAGTAAAGCGAAGCAAAACTGCCTCTGAGATGAGTGAGGGGTGAAAAACTTGGAAAGGGAAACGAACACCCGAAACATAAGGAGATTATTGTTTTCTCCTTCAGTACAATTCGTTTCCCTGGGTGATGAGCTCTGTAAGCTCAGAGGAAGGAGGGAAATGCTGCATTTTAGAAGATGTTTGGGATCTTTTGCTATGATGTTAGAAATAGTGAAAAATACGTTTCTGCTCTGAACCATCCTCTGGAATCTCACTTGTCCCCGAGAATTCAGGTTTTAAGGCTGTGCTTAAATACTTGGATAGAGCTGGTGCCTTTCTTGCATGAGAAAGAGCCCTGTGCTGTCCAAAACTCAAAAGCATTTGTGTGGAGACATTCTCACTGTGGTGCCTGCAGAGGAAGAACCCCCAGCACAGTAATGTACCAGGAGGTATCGAGGGCTAGAGTCATTGTGGGTATTTTTTCCAAGCCTCCCTTGTTTTCTGAGCTCTGCAGGAGAGCGGTTTGCACAAAGCACACGTTGTGTCTCACAGTAGGATGCTCTGTCAAACAGAATCTCTGCACTGTTGACTCTTTCACGCAGCGAAAAAAAAAATAAAAAAATAAAAATCCCAGTGATTTTTTGTCTTGAATGCCCCATGCTGTTCAAATCTGAGCTGGTGGCTGCGTCTACAAGGTAGAGAAGACTTGGGTTAGTGTTCCATTATCCTGGAGTCAAATGGCTCTTTCTCCTTTGTCATCTCCTGGAGCACTGGGGATGGAGATCATCTCACGCTGTAAATCCAGAGGGGATGCTGCAGAGGGGGACAAGGACTCTGGAAGCTCCACACTCCCTTCTTGAAGATGGGAGTGATGACCTTGATGCTTTTAGGGAAGGAGTCCCTGCCCTTTGTGTGGCTCTTCTCCAGCACAACTCCCATCTTTTTGGGGTGAGAGCAGAAGAACACGGTACTCTAAGGTGTTTCCCCCCTGAGCTGATTGCTTTCTTTGGAAAACATGGGCTAAGGGCATGTGCCGTGTCATCAGAGGGCTCTGCTGGTTTTGAACAGGTGGTCCTGGAATTATAAAAGACGTTCAGGAGTTTGAAAGTGTTGGAGCTGCAATTTTAAACTGACAACTTTCCGGCTGGAACCGGTCACTCCTCAGCCACCACAGCTGACTTGGAAACATTTGGCTCAGGAAGCGGAACAACAGTTGGAAACAAACAGCGATTAGTTTTTTCATGGCTTCCCAGGGAACGCATCAGTTTGTTCGTTTCCCCCCTCATTTTGTGGTTCCTGTGGATTTTTAAGGCACTGTAGATGCAGGATGCTCAGTTTAGCCAAGCCTGCGTACTGGCAGATTAAAATGAGCAAAGGCTGAGCACGCTGAGTTCACTCATCATAACCAATATGATGCTTCTCAGAACTTCCTTTGCCCTTGGTATCTTCACTGAGGAATCCTGCCTGCTGCCGTCAGCCCCCCTGCGTTGAAATCCCATTTTACCCATTTCAATGCTGTAAGAAGTGCTGTATAAACTAAACAGGAGCATCTGTGAAGTGGTTAGAGTTGTTGTTGATTGCCTTTTCCTTATTGCCTTCAGGGGATTTAGGCTTGAATTTGCTGGAAGTAGAATTTATGAGCCAGAACGCTCCATTTCTGATCCTTAAGCTGGGAAAAGTGCGGCGAATTTGATCGGTCTTTTCTCCTGCCTCCCGTGTCTCTGGCTTTTGATCTGGACCTCGCAGGGCTCTCTCTGTGTCTTTAACATAATTGCTTCTTGCATGTGGAGAAGAAGGCTGGTTTCCACATGGCTGCTTTGATTATGGGGAGCTGCAGGAGCAGCGTTAGGGTTCGGGCCATCTGGTGAGCAGCTCCGCGGGAAGCTGGGGCACCTGTGCCTCACCTGGGGGACACAGAGGTGAGCTGCTCTTCAGCCCCCCGGCCCTGGGGACAGATCCTGAGCGTGCCAGGAGGACACTGATGTGGTTTGAATCATGCTGTGCTGGTTTTCCATCCTGTGCTGCTTTTACCATCACGATCTGGTGATGTCTGTTTGGAACAAAAGGATTTTCTTCTCTTGCTTACGCGTGGGGGAAGAAAATTTAGGGTGTATCTCTGTGCACAGCCGTGTTAAACCCCCTGATTCTGTGGGGCTGGACATCTCAGCTACGCTTGTGTTTCCCACATAGTGTGTTTCTGTGTTGCCACGTGGGAATTCCTGTGTTTTATTCCAGCTATGACTGTTTTGCAGAAACTGGAGGCAGTTTCACTGTCCTCCACAGAGCTGGGAAAGTTTACGGCACAAAAGCAAAGTGGATTTCACTGCAATGTTGCAAACATGTTCCTGGTCTTCGTTAACCAAATGAAGAAATGCCTGCAGAATTAAGACTCAGTGATCAATGCTGGAAGTGGGAGCACTGAAGGAAATTTTGACTTTTGGGTCAGGGGGGTGAAGTGACCAAGTCAAAGCCCTTTCCTTTCAAATACAAGGCTGGTGGCAGGACCTTATCTCTGGTGGTTGCAAAGGAGAACACTTAAACATTCAAAATTGTTTGCATTCAATGCATAGAGAACAGAAATGTTCATGGGAGCTTTAAAGCTGTTGGAGAGGCAGCAAAAAGTCACAGTACCAGCATGCCTGGGCTGGCTAACACACAAGATATACAGATATGTAGATAAATATATATCAAATGAAGAAATAGCACCTGGGAGTGGAAGAAAATCCTGAAGACAAATGTGGTCAGCAGAGTTAAAGGTGCTCTAAAGGGCTTGAGAAATAAAAAAGCATATTGAATGATTCCAGCCTGTCAGGAGTTCAGGGTTTAACACTCCAGCAGTGCTACAGGGAATCTCAAGAAATACTGAATGTATTCTATATTTGCTGAAAAGCCAGATGACACAGTCATTGTATGACCTATTCTTCCATCCCCACAGTAAATAGACATTAAACAGCTGATTCTAAAGGGTGGTATTTAAAAATCAGCAGATGACTTTTGATTTCTAAGGCTGCAGCTGAGGCAGTCTGTACACTGCTGTGTGAGTGAAGGTGTTTTGCACCAGGCAGGAGGTTGCAGGCCAGCCAGCCAAGATTTCCAGGCAAAACACTGGGAGACCAGCAGCAGCTCTTCTAAAATCTGGATTCAAAGGATATGTTGCTTTCTGTGTGTGGAAGACTTTTGAAGTCAAAGCTGTCCATTTGCTGAAGATGTGGTTCTGTGTGAGGGACTTGAACTAAGGACCAGTTGAAGGAAAATCAGCTGCTTAGCAGATGTCACATTAATGGTTGAACTCCTTCCTTCCTCTCCTGCCATTAAATGCAACCTCCAGTTCCTGCCAGCAGTAGCTTCCACCAAATGTGCAGAAACCTTTTTTCTTAATGGAGAGCAGTTCTCCAGCACCTGGGCCCGGGGTTTTCCCTGCTCCTTTACTTCTGCCTTCCTCTGAAGTTGGCAGCTTCTCCTGCCTGTCTGAAGGACAAGGCAGAGGAGATGTGGCAGTTTTGTATTTCAAAGGCATCAGTGTGGTGGAGTCATGTTTTAACACTACAAAACACAATTACCTCCTTATCATTGCTGCACCACAACAAATAACAGTAATTGGTGTCAGCCTGTCATGCTAAGATGTTGAGACTTCGTTACTTAACTTTTAAATTTATGTTTAAATTTATTTTTCCTGCTATCCCTCTTTCTTCAGGGAGAAAAGGTCAATAAGGCACATACCTTATTACTGCCTTCTTCACTCTAGTGCTGCTTTGGCCATGCTGGGGGTTTGTTACCCAGATTAATCCTGGTTTCTCCCAAAGGGAAGGAAGAGCTTCCTCTCTGCTTCCCACTGCTAACTTTGTGACTTCCCTGGAGAGCCGCTGGAGGCTGGAGCTGGCAGTCAGTCCTGGCAGCACACTGCTCTCGTTAAAAAGGCCAGATTGCAGCTTAATCAAACATCTTTCCAAACTGCATCAGGGAAATCCAAAGGCTCTGCTTTGGAGAATTGGAATGAGGAACGTGCTCTTAAACTGCTGACATTGTGCTGTTACCAAAGCCAAAGCAGATCTTTAATGTGTTTAAAGCAGTAGATACCGGTTTTCCTTTTTGGAACAAAAAGAGGAAATTCCTTCATGTAACAGGATATGTTAAAGCAATGCTATAGCTGAGGGACTCTGATATTGTCTCTTTCCCTTACTTCCTCAAAAATCATCAATTGGAGATGTGTGTGTGTGTGTATTTCACGTCTGGCCTCTCTCTCTGCCTTAGGCAGAGTTGTCACTTCTATTTTTCCCTTTTGGTTCGGTTCAGCAAAAGCTTAACTATTTCCAATTGTTTTTTCCATTCATTAGTTGTTCCTAAGAGCCCCTCAATGACTCAGATATTTAATTCCAGTTATGGTATAATTTTATCTCAGTGTGTGTAAAGCCTTTGTTGCCGTGATACGATCGGACTGATGAGATTATGGAGCATATTGGCTGCTGAAAGGATGGATTATGTGAGTTGTAGGTGATCCTTCTGTTGTGGCTTTGGCTTCTCCTTTTCGTGGTTCATTTGTTAAGATAAGAAAGAAAGGCTATGAAACCACCAGCATTTTGGCTTGACACAGGTGAGATTCTTAATTACAGCTTCCTAATGCAACCGTTCATTTTGTGGGACTTTTACTGAATAAAAATGCTTTGGATTTGACTTTGCAGCTCTGTTAAGAAGCAGGAACTCCTGTGTTTCACAGTTTGATATTGAAGGAGTGCCTGGTTCCAGGTCTCCCTGTGATATTTCATGGGCTCTCAGATGCAGGAGCATTTAACCCCACATCTGTCAGAAGGCAGCTTTGTGGAACAGGGCTCAGACTGGGGGTGGTTTGCATCTGTCAGTTCATCTTCAGCTGCTGAAGTCTTGCTCACCTAATTATGGATCCCAAACACCCCAAAAAGGAGGGCTCTGCCCCTCTGCCTCTTGCTGCTATGTATTCAGGAGTGAAAGCTGTCCCAGGATCAAACAGTTCCTGGCCAAAACTTCCCACATAATATTTCAAGAGGAAAAAAAATAAGCCAGAGTGACTCAGGGATGAGATCAGAGGAGAGCAGGTGTCCTGGGGAGACGAGGCAGTGAACTGCACAGATGAGGATCTCCAACCAACCGAGCTTGGCTGCTGTAGATGGGTAAAATTATCCTCATCCTTATTTTCCTGGAAGTCTTTATTTTATTTAATGGGGTTTTTTTTATTCTTCCTTACAAATGTCTCTGTCCCCAGGAGGGTGGTGCAGGAAGTGAATATCCAAGTGAATCATCATGGCTCTTCTCCCGAGCCACAGAGCAAAGAGTTAACTGGCTCTGCCTCACTCAGAGCAGGAGCTGGATGGAGCTGAGGTTTCTGCTGGGACTGAACCATTTCCTACCGTGCTTTAGCTCTTCTGGCATGGTGTTCAGCTTGTGCACCGGGGGTTTTACATGTGTGCAGTGCAGATGTTAGCAAGGATACAGCAGTCCCCTAATTAAACAGTGCTGGGCATAAGCTGTCTTCCGTAGAAGAAGCTCGGCAGCACGACTGAGAAGAGGCAATGATATATAAAATGTGACTTACCATGCTGAGGGACATCTGCTCCTCCTTCACGAGGATTCAGCTCCCTGTGGTGATGAAGGCACGATGTGAGCTTGTGTTGGTGCTGGAGGAACTCGCTGCATCCTCGAGTCAAGGCGAGGACGGTCGGCTCGAGTCGCCTTTTAACAGGAAGTGGCAACATCCGTATTTTTTTAAGAAACTTTCCTGTGTTCAATAGGAAACTGAAATGACTTTATTTGTTGAGCTGCACAGCAAGTGAGTGCTGTGAGAATACAGTGAGCCCCGAGGCCTTTGCATTTGTTTCTGCTGTGCCGTTGTCTCCAAGGAGGAGCATGACTCAGTTACGCTGGCTCGAAATATTCTGAAGTAGATTATTTCTCTTGTAGCAGAAGGGCTTGGCACTGCTCTCTGTTGGAGATGCCCTTTTTTTCCTAGGCAACAAACTGACAGCAAATTGTTTAGACTTCCCCATGGCTGTTCTATTCCTTACCACAATGTCCCCTGAAACAGGGACAGGCACTAAGACATTTTGGGCCCCAAAGACCAGTCCTGCGATGCTCCCGTTGGCACGGTGCTGAACTGGCAATCAGGCAGTGATTTCCCTGGCTGGCTGGCTCACCTCTGAGATGTGTGGCCAAGTGCCAGACCAGCTGTGCTTTCCAGGCAGCTTCCAGCTTTCCTTCTCCCGGGTAGGTGAGCCTGGCCTTGAAGAGACGAGCTCACGTGTGTTTGTGCCTCAGTGCTTGGAAGGAGCAGTTTCTTACCAGGAGGGAGGGAAGATTAATCCTCTGGAGGTGAAACTACGTGTCCTGTGAGCCCTTGGAATGGAAAATGCTATCATTGGTGCTGGGACAACTCTAATCCTTGACTAAAATCTTGGCCTTGGGACTGAAGATGCCTGCACAGATTGTGCTAGGGAAGGGTGGGCATCTAGCTTGTTTCCATGTTTTTTTATGGATTTGCACCTTCTGTAGTGAGTGTTCCCTGTGGTTCAGCTGATGAGAGCTTTCCAGGAGAGAGGAGTGCTTCTGGAGTGCTCTCCTTCTCCTTGTCCATCCTCAGCACAGCCTCAGGGAGCAATGTCACTGAGAGAGCCAGAAACCTCTGCCAGCACAGGGATCCTGCACTGGGACAGGTCTTGGATGCGAGCTCAGGAGATCCAGGAGCACCAAGAGAACCTTAGATCCTGCTGGGATCTGCCTTCTTCAATGGGCTCATGTTGGATGCTGTGGGATGCCTGGTTATGTTTGTATTAAACCAAAAGCTTGGGCTCTGTGGCTGAGTTTGGGAATTACAGGTCCAGTGAAGATGGAGGGTGTGAGAAATGCAGGGGGTTGTGGCAGCGAGGAATGCACAGCCTGAGAAGAAATGTCTCCAACTGAATGGTAGAACAGTGAAATCATAGAATGCTTTGGATTGGAAGGAACAGCCACATTCCACCAGGACTGGCTGCTTCAAGCCCCATCCAGCCTTGGACACTCTGGTGACTGGAGCTGCCCAGACCACGTGCCCTGGACAGTCTGACCTTTCCCAGCTGCAGGAGGTGATGCCTTCCTTCCTCTGCTGAATCAGGGACCTTGCAAGGCCACGTGAATGAAGGTGTGTCCTGTCTCTGAAGTTGTGTCCTTGGCATTTCTTCTTTTTGCCTGTCAAGAGAAATGTTACTCACACATGGAACTCACTGGAGAGACTCACATATTGCATCTTACATTGGCTGCACACGTGATGTGTGAGCAGTATGAATGACAGAATAAGGATATTTTTTTTCTGATTTAAGTCACTTCTGCCTTCAGATGTTCTGTCATCACAGGTGTACTTGCTAAAATAACAATATCTGGACAGGATGGAAACTAGCATCCAAACCATCCTCAGCCACTTAGGAGAAAGTCCTGATAAGTGGAGTAAAGGCTTTGGGAGCCAGGCAGTGAGCCAGTTAGGGAATCTCTGTTTCAGTGCAAGGCCATAAAAAATGTGTGCTATCTGGAAAGCAGAACATCTGGCAAACTGGCTAATGAGATCCAGACGAGGGGAGCTCCAAGGCAAATGGAAGAGCTGCCCTGTAGGGTTGGTTTATAACTCTTGGAATTTGTAGGAGGTTACTAGTTTGTTGGAATTTTTTTTAAAAAATTACTATTTATTTAAAGAAATGCAGACACCAAAGACCATGGAATTCCAGAGTGACTTCAGTTTGATTTATAATAGCTGGCTGGGAAGGATGATTTATCCCAGCCTCCCATGGATGTTTTCTGTCCCTTATTTCCCTCTCAGCTCTGCCCTGGAGATCCCCCATGGCTGCATGAGCTCCTCTGAATGAGAAAAGTTTGTTTGCTCTCAGCCCATGGAGAGTTTTTCCTTCCTCTAAGCAGGGAATTTGTTTTGCAGAGGGAGAGGTTTGGGCTCTGGAAAGTTTATGCTCCTTCTCTTTCTTCCTTGTTTTTTTTGTTTTTTATTGTAATGATGACATATGGAAACTATTTACACAGGAGCATGCTCGGCTGCACTGAGTGGAAATGCTGGAGTCCCGGCAGTCTCGTTCTGGATGCCTTGTGTAAGCAGCCAGCTGGTTTTGCTTTTCCTTTTTGTGGGGTTTTTTTTTTCCCCCCCCCTCTTTTCTTTTTTTCCCCTCCCTCTCTCTCTTTTCAGGGAACAACTGGGATAAGTTACACAAGTGTAAGGAAGGAAGCTTTGCCACCTGTGACCAGCTCAGTTCTCTTCCTCTGGCGCGGCCCTTGCGCTGCCAACTTCACAAAATACCTGTTTTCTTTTTTTTTTTTTTTGTCTGGAGATTCCTTGCTGTGCCTGCTCAGCACTTTGACTCCTCTCCCGTTAGCTCATCGTGCTTGCTGGTGAGCAAGTTGTGCTAAATGCCAAAACACGAGAGCGCAGCACACAGATCCCCGCTCCACCAGCACGCTTGTGCCTGGCAGCTCCTCGTCCTGCAGCCAAACCTTCCAAAATCTCGCCCTCGGAAACAGCCAGGGAAAGGATCTGACTGAGGTCTGAGCCACCTTCCTCAGAGGGGAGGGGAGAAACCCTTCAGTTCTGCAGGCAGCAGAGCAGAATCTTTTGTGCGGAGCTTTCCCTTGAGGAAGCTGCGAAATCGAGGAGCAGCTTTCGGCAGGGAGGGAGGAACTGGGGCTGTGCGAGCACCAGCGGCTGCCATGCAGTGGAGAGAGCTGCCTGCCATCTACTTGGAGGACCCTGGGAGCCCTGTGGAGAGATCCTCCTATCTCATTCAGCTCCATACTGATGGTAAACGCCGTCGGGGATGTCGTGCAGCACGAGCGGAGCCGAGCTTGCATTAGTCTGTGTCATTGTTATCTTGGGAGCAGCTGAGGAAATTAGCTCGCTGGAGGGCTGCCAAGCACTCAGTCAGAGGGCTGCTCTTCAAATTTATTATTATTTTTATTATTATTTATGACCCAGATGATGCTGTTGCCTCGGGGATGCTAGATCAACCTTCTGGTACCTGATGGGAAAGGAGCTGATCCACAAAATGCAGCTCCCCACCGGAACACTTCAGTGCATTTTCTGTTGTCTGTGCCTGCTGCAGACAGCAGGAAAGCATCTTGATTTCTAGAGCTGCTTTTCGGTTCTGATTTGCATCTCTGAGCGCTGTTTTGTATTTGCAGCCTTGTTCTCAGAGCTGGGACAGCTCTTCTGTTTTCAGCTCCTGTGGGAAGCACAGAGCAGGGTCCTGTCCTGGGGTTTTTGCTGGGATGTGTCTTTTCCTAGTGTCGATCCTTCCCTGAGAGGTTAATGTTTGCAAAAGAGCTGCTTCAGGGTTAAAGGTGATTTTGGCATCTTCTGGCAGAGTGCAGTGTGTTGGTGTTTAGGTTAATGCTCCAGACCTTTGCTGGTTTGGCCACAGCGTGTTTTTATCCTCTTAAATTTTGTATATTCTGTAACGTAAAGTCCAGGTTCTGATGAAGGTATGCTCCTCCTGTAACTGCTAAGCATCAAATATGTTGATTTTTTTGTGCTCTCAGGCTGCAGTTTGAGGGAGTCTGTCTTTTTTGAGACACATCCCCAGCAAAAGCTTTGTAAATAACAAGATTTAAGAACTTTTTAGAGCTTGCGATATAACGCTTCTGATTTTTGCATATGGCTGTCATCTCTTAGTTAAAAAGCAGACAAACCAGAAGGCTGCCATTCCAGCTCCGTGGATAAATAAAAACTCCATCATTCAGGTTTTTTTTCAAGAGCTGTGCTAAATCAAGGGGTGTGGGGGAGGAACCGGCCTCATTCAAACATTTGTCCAGATTTTGAGTGGTATTTTAAGGGTGTGGGGGAAGCAAGGAAGAGAAACAGGCTTCGTGCTGCAGAATGCTCAGCAACCTGAGCGTGCAATCTGGAAGGTCTTCACAAACCAGAGAAATGTTATCTTAATTTGATTTGGGGGTGGGAGAGGCAGCTGTGGCTGTGCACTGGTGAAGGGGTTCTGATTTCTTCCCACTCCCTGCCTCTGCCAGGAGCACATGGTGCCATTTCTCTTGGCAGGTGTAGAGTTTTTGGCATGGGCTCCCTCTCCACTCCAGAGGGTGTTCTGGAGAGACTGAATCAGTAATTCATCGAGGATTATTTTGTCACAGCAAATCTTCAGCAGGCTGTCATGAGAAGGGAAAAGAACCTCGTGGTGCTTTTTTTTGCCCACTCTCAGATAACAACTTGGAACACAGGGAGAACGAGCTGCCACACCACAGCTCCTGTGCTCATAAAAAAAAAGGGGGAAATCAGCACTGCTGTGCTGGCAAGCTCAATTTTACATGTACCCACTTTGGGAACATGAGGCACTGGAGGAGGGAAGTCTCTTCTGAGAGCAGGAACAACCATGTGATGTGGGAAATGTTTGAAACTCTGGAGAACTGAGAGTGTGGCTAGCTCCACCACAGGCCCTAAGCAGGTCTCATTGCTGTGGGTTCTCTGCTCAGTATTCTTTGTCAAAGGTCAAACAAAACCCCCAGTCCCAGAAGAAGAGACCAAGAGTCATTCCCTTTTTGTGCAGTAATTATTTTCTTGCTTAGTTTTCATACTGAGGCTGCAGAATGCAAAAATGGCAATTATTTTGGAGTTTACATACATGCCCTGTATAACTTTCCCATGGGAAGGGCCCTGTGCATGTGTAGCTCTGCTTGGGAGTTGCTTTTTTACAATTGGATTGTTTTGGGTTTTTTTTTTAACTAAATCTTTATTTACAAAATCTGATTCAAATGCTCAGTATGGCATTGTTTATAGCTCTTTGCTGGTGAGAAGGACAGGTGCTCAGAAATGTCAGAATTAATGGGTGGAGTGTGAACAGAAAATTCATCTTGCAGTTTGTTTGCATCGTGGGGGTGTCGGTACTTAGCAGCACCTCGGATTGTTGTGAAATTTAGTTATTTAGTGTTAAATAAAATGTGTTATTTAGTGACTCTGAAGTGCTGTGAGAAATGGGGCCTTCCACACAAAGAGCTGACAGCTTCTCTCCTCACACTGGTGCCCCGTGGCAGGGGCAGTGCTGTGTCCATCCTTCCACAGCCTCTGCTCCAAGGACACGTGCAAAAACTTCTTTCTCCTTCAGCAAACCCTCTTTTCTTCACTGGGCTGGCTGTCCTGGGAGGCTGCTGGCTGTTACCTGCCTGCTTATAGTTGCTGATGCTGATAGCCAGCTTCAGGCATGACAGCACACACCTCTGAGCCAGGAGAGCTGCTTGCTGTGTGGAATAAGAAACTGTCTCTTTTGATGATCTTCCAGGAGCATTCCCGTGTGGAAGTGCTGGGTTTGAGTGTCTCTTTTAAGCTCTTACCTGCCAAGAGTCCATTTGTCAGTGTACAAGAGCTGCCACTTTCCTGGCTACTCTGCCTTTCTGTGATCCCAGAGCCTCCTGCTCCATCCCAGCTTCCCTAATGGTCAATCCCTGTTTCTGTGATGCAGATGGAGGCAGCTACGACGTTGTCAACGATGCCTCCAGCCCCGCGGCCAGGGAGTGCTGCGCCCAGCAGAGCTCTGCCCGGCACAACTGGGAGATGAACTACCAAGAGGCAGCCATCTACCTCCAGGTGAGCCCTGCTGGAGCTGGGGGAATGGTCTGCAGGAGCTATGGTGGTTCTTGCTCGTGGGAAACAAACAGCTTCCGTTTTGAGGCTGGAAATTCGGTGTTTTGCCAAGGATTCTGCTTCAGGAGTGGGGCGGTGCTGGAGGCACCTCCAGATAGGCTTTGGAAGTCATTTGGAGCATCTGGACAACAAAATACACACCCTCTCCCAAGGACTGCAGGGCTTGGGGGGTTCAGCACATGCACAGTTCTGCCAGCTTGGCAAATGGAAATTTTTGTAGCTGGTCACAGATTGTCATCCCATCCCTACAGTTACTCCAGGGAGAATGGTCAGTGGCCAGCATGACCAGAGACACCTGGGGGTGTTTCCTGTTCTGCAAGTGCAGCTCCCAGTCCTGCCTTGGCCATGGGGTGGGTGTGTGGCCCAGCTAGTGTCAGTCAAGTCCTGCAGGAGATGTGAGGTACGAGAGAAAGCAGAGGTCTTGATTTCTACAGGATTAAAGGATGTTTGGATTAGGATCAGCCCAGGAGCAATATTTAAAATACTTTAAAAAACAGAGAATGAAACCCCACCCATGCTTCAGCAACCAGAAACACCATCCTGACTGCAACAAGGTTTGCAGTTGATGTTTTTTAAGGTTGCTGTAATCTGGTGTGAGGAATTAGCCTCCAAAACTGAGTTTCTCCCAGAGCTGTCCAGTCTGAAATAGTTGCTGGTTCCATTACTGTCCGTCCTTCCTTCTCTTCATTCCCTTTCAAAACTCTGAGGTGCTTTGGACCCAGTTGGGCTTTTTTTTTTTGGTTTAAGCCACTGCAAGGTGACAAAAACCGTTTGTTCCTCCCTGCTTTGACCCCACAGGACAGAGAAATCTCACTTCTCAGATATTTAAAACAGTGTAGGTTGGACCGTGGCAACACTTGAGCGCTCAGTGGTGTGCTGGAGCAGCCCTGGCAATGGCAGGGTGGGTCCAGCCTCCCTCCCAGGCTTTTGTTTAAACTCCTGATTATTGGAGCAGCTCTGGAAAGGGTCATTGAGCTGCTGCAGCTCTGATGGTAATGGGCACAGCAGGCCTGGCCCTTCGGATGGGGATGATTGCTGCTGCTGCCTGACCAATGCCCACGATGACACTGTCCTTGAAATGAGGTAGAATCACTTAAAGAGAGTTTTGTGAGCAGTGGCTGCAGGCAGCTGTCAGGTCTGGATAAGAGGGCTTTGCTGTCCAGCCAGGTTTGGAATTGTTTGGCTCCCAAGAGGCAGGATTTAGGCTGTTTGTAATTCCACAAGTGTGCTCTGCCAGGCGTGGATGGGAATGACCCTGCTGATCTCAGCCTGGGCTCTTTGCAGGGCTGGCTCTGTGCTGCTCCAGCCCGGCTCAGTGGCCCAGCAGGGTTTGTTCTGAAGCCC